GCAGTTTAAAGAGTCCCTCTGTGTCTCCTCCACAGGAACATAGCTGCAGTTTAAAGAGTCCCTCTGTGTCTCCTCCACAGGAACATAGCTGCAGTTTAAAGAGTCCCTCTGTTTCTCCTCCACAGGAACATTTGTAGTGAATGTGACTCAGACTTCCTATCAGGCAGAGGAGAACCAGAACATCACCCTGGAGTGGACCTTCAGCTCCAGAACAGACACTTCCCTCAGATCCATTTCTACCTACTGTGAGATGTTAACTGAGAACAGACCCTACGTCCTGTTTCATCTCCATCAAGGTGTTGAATCCCCAGAGTCTCAGGATCCAGAGTTTGCAGGACGAGTCCAGTGGGACAAAGACGTCCTCACAGAAGGACGCCTCACACTTCATGTCTCCAGACTCAGGACCAATGACTCTGGGTTTTATGTGTGTGACATACTCGTCACTCCTGATGGGAGTAACTCTAGGAGATGCTGGCTAAACGTCACTGGTGAGTAACCTCAGTAGAAGTCAGGAAGTAAAACAACTTTAGGCTCCATAGAGCCAAATAATTGAACAGTTAACAGTTGAAAGTTAACCTCATTGAGGCGCTAGGGGAAATAACAGAAACTCAACAAAGCCATCAGAGAAGCATCCTCTGAGGACCATGAATGTCATCCTCCACAGCCGAAAGAGTTTTGCTTCTCAAATCTTAAAAAAGTCATTTTTTTGTCTAACCGACGGGTTAAAGCAAGCATTAATTACATCTTAAATGAATGAATGAGAGAAAAAGCATTAAATCTGCCTGTCATACACCGAGGCGATTCTAGAGCTGGTTGGGAGCCGGTGCCTAAATCTGTAAATCATGAACTCTAAAATGCTTAAATGTTTCCACTTCAGAGAATCATCCTAAGGTTGATTTTGGTCCTTTTCCGCAGCTGCTGAGTTCAAACCAGAGGGAACAACAGAGAGTGAACAACCAAAGAGTGGGAGAAACTACTGGATCTCCATTGCAGTCGCAGCAGTCGCAGCAGTAGCAGCTGTGATGGGTATTATTGCTACGAAAGTTTGTTTTTCTAAATGTACTCACAAGAACAGAGACGACCTTTCAGGCATACAGCCATTGAGATCCTCAGAGAAAAAACCCACCAGGACCAACACCACTCCACTTAGCTTTGCCCCTTTAGGCTTGGTTTTGAAATGTTGTTTTTCTAAATATAGAGACAGGAAAAGCGACATCAATGAAATCAAACAGCCGTTAGATTCCTCAGAGAAACAACCTGTCACTTCTAACGTGATTACAGTTACTGCGATGACACACTCCGAAACACAGATTCTGTCAGAAAAAGGCTTGTGATGTAAAATGTATAACTGCATTTAAATATATGACGTGTTCTGACTAACTGTAGAAATGTCAGTGCAAATAATGCTTGCAGGTGTCAAACTGCTTAATTGTGAGGGTTTTGTGAGGACAGTTAACATAGAAATAGAGCTACAAAAAACATCAGATAATGTTACTGAGTTCTATCATTCACCTGTACGTCATGAATCGCTCTGTTTCCTGCTAACTGAGGGTTACCATGCTGTATTTAATATGCATGTATCAATGCTCCATATTATAAATAAGTCACTTTGTATATTTGTATTACTGTTTCACTCCACAATCTGCATGTATTACAGGAGGAAATATTTGGAAATGTTAAATTGGATCAAATTAAAAGTGTAAAATGCTTTATTACTTTGTATTATAATAAAAGTTTTTATTCTTTTACACTATTGTTCATCATGTCTCTCTGTTTCATGAACACTGCAGCTGCCCTGATAACTCTTTAAAGTGAAACAAAAAACACTATCAGGAGGGAGTGAACTGAGAGGGGGTTTACCTCATGGGAAAACAACTGAACTCATGCTTGAAAAACAGAGAGGCAGATCCTCTGCAGCCACTGTTCGAAATGGGGGGGAGCCAGGGGGAGCTTGACTCCCCCGAAGAGGGAGGGAGCTCCCCTGAAGGCTGACTTTGAGATAAATAGGGGGAGCCCAAAACAATCGTGCATATTTGTGTCACACAGATTAGAAATGTTGAGTTTCTGTAAATAAAAGTTATTGAAATAAATAATAGTTATTGTTCATTACAGTTTCTGAATATTTGTTTTATATTTGTGAATATATCTGGGTGTTGTCATCTGTACGTGGCGGCGCTTCATTCTTACTTACGTTGCTATGGTTACGGCGGTGATGCCGGCGCGGTATTTGAAATGTTCATATTGATATTTTTTTAACTCTGGCTTTGTGATAACAAATATGGCAAATCGAAAACATCCATGCCTCACGCTTTTGGATTCACAAGCAAAGAAGCGAAGGAGTCTAAAAATGACAACGTGAACGGAAAACAACTTTTAGTTGGCCGGCTGTAAGCGGCGTTAGGGTCGAGTTTGACAGCTCCTCACCGAGTTGAGTAAAGTTGGTTTCAGATTTTACGGATCAATAACTCATGAACAAAACGTTGTTCAGACACAAAGTAAGTCTCCTAAGTACCGTGGTAAGGTTGACAACGAACTACAATCACATTTTGATTTAAAAAAAAGCCAATACGTGCTGTCCTCCAAACTGGACACATTACATTGGTCTCTATCCGCAGCCGGAGAAGAAACGAGTGCTCAGGGACCGTCTGCAAAGTGCAACTCCGAAAAAACAGAATACAATAATATTCAATCACTTCACATTTATACAGTATATTTCTACCAAACTCACTACACACATCAATAGTCTCCTGTTGGTCATACTACAGCAGAGAGTTTGGAAGAATGTGCTTTTGAATAATTTTGGGGAATATTTCTAATGTAACATCTTCAATAAACATGGCATCATCTTCAATAACGTTACTATTATACAGTATAAATATTCACCAAAATTGATTTTGAGTCTTGAAAATGTGCTTTCCAGATCATTGAGAAATGTCTTGTGTCTAATGAACATGTTTTGCATATTTATTTATGAATTCTGGATTTTAAAAAGAGCGA